CACTATTCTTTACATATTCTTTATTAAAGAGAGACAAAACCAAGTACAAAATTTCTCCCGATGTTTACAGAAATAGAAAGCATATAGAAAAAATATTCACATAAAGCATTTGTTGTTAGTGAAATATCAATGCCAAAACAATTCCTTTTCCCCAAGTTTCACATGATGGAAAATCATGACTGTTTCTTATACTTCACTGGTGCCTGCAACTTACCATTTCTAATACTAATTTCAAAGGTGCAGGTAACAAACATTGACTTACACATAATAAATATTAAATGTCTATTCTCGCTGTATGTTTTCTTTCACATTCATTTAAAATTTATTTCAGTGACATGAAAGGCAGAGAGACAAAGAAATATACAAAGAGACAGAGAGATTTCTATCAATTTGTTAACTCTCCAGATGCCTTCAACAGCTGGGGTTCAAGCTAAAGACAAGAGACAGAAACTAAATCTGGGTCTTCCATGTGCAAGGCAGTAACCCAAGTACTCAAAGCATTATCTCCTGTTGGCTCCCAAGGTGCATATTAGCAGGAAACTGGAATTGAGAGCAGAGATTGGTTTGAAACTCTGAAATGGGATGTGGGCATACTAACCAGTACCTCAACTGCCAAATTTCACTCCATAACCTCATTTTTAATAATTTCTTTTTAACTTCTTCTGCTATTTACTGGTGTCTGTCCTTGATCAAGATATCCTTTAAAAACTTCAGATTCTCATCTGTTAAGTAGTTTATTCCACAAATTTTAAATATGCTTTATGTGTATTTCAGCATATGCAATTCAGTGTTATGAGTCGAGTTATCAATTTCATGAAGCAGATATATATCCCAATACACATTAAGTAATAAATAAATAGGTAGAGATATGGTTATTTTTCTTTCTCAAGGAACATATAGCCCATTGCGAAAAATAGCCTTTAAATGTGCTTCCAAGATTTTAATAAAGTTTAAACGGAGTGTGACACTTTATGGGAGTATTTAACAGGGATGAACAATCTGGTCTGTGGATCAGTCTCCCTGAAATGCTGGTGAAGCATTTCCTCTGAACAAGATTCACAAGCAAAACATTCTATTAAATTTTCCATGAAGACTGGAAATTTGCAGACTCTAATTCTGTAAATTTGTCAGAATTTGACCAGAAAGAATTGAGAGATGAAGCCTGTGAGGAGTGTGCATGACAGATTTACTCACCTCCTTTTTTAAAAAAATTAAATTATTTATTTATTGAAAGGCAGTATTATAGGAAGTAAGAGACAGAGAGAAGGAGATCTTTAATCTGCTGCTTCATTTCCCAAATGGCCACAATGGCTGAGGCTGGGCCAGGCTAAACCCAGGACTCAAGATATTCATCCAGGTAGTCCACATGGATAGCAGGATCCCTAATACTTGGGCCATATGCTACTGCTTTCCCAGGCAACATTAGCAAGGAGCTGAATTGGAAGTGGAGAATCTTGGATGCAAACCAGCACCCATATAGGATGCCAACATTGCAGGTGGCAGCTTAGCCTTCTATGCCACAATTTCTGGTCATTATTTACCATTTTAAAGGATTTTGAGTCTTTTAGTATCCTGGCAAGAGTATTCATTTACCTCAGGGGTATCCAAGTCATCCTCTGGAATATATTCTGAAGTTTTTTGGAAACCTAGCCCTTCCTGTGGAAGGATGGACCCAGGAATCCACCATGTACACTTTTGTTGTAGTGGTAGTAAAAAGGATCATAGTGTAAGCTCTTTTCCAATGAGCCTCTAATGAGAGAGTTGGTAGGGCTTTGACTATCATTGAGTCTCCTGAGGTATACTTAGGTCTTCCTGATCTCCTGGGTAATATCTCTGGGAGATCCTGGATTGCTTGTTGGAATTTGGCAAGTGATGTGATGAATCTGATCATGTAGGGAGTCTAAATATCTGTTAGAATATCATTCATAAAGAAAGGACAAGTGTTCAGTATTTTAAAAGTGCTCAAATCTTACCTGTGGGGGGTTTTCTGATACACATTAAGGCTTTGGGTAGGAGAGAGACCTAGGGAAGGTGTTTCCTGAGTTAGCTTCTTGAGTTGTCTCTCGAGGATGCCATTAGTCTTTTCTACCTTCCTTGACAACTGGGGCTTCCAAGTACAATTGAGATGATATCGTATACTTAGAAACCATGTAAATATTTATCCTTTTATCCTTGTTCAGCTTGAGGGCTCTTGTCAGAACTACCAGCTCTGCCAGTTGAGTGCTTGTGCCAGGAGGAACATGAAAGCTCCCCATTGTCTTATGTAATGTTATGACAGCATATCTAGCCAGCATGGTTTCTTATTCAACAATGGAACTCCCATCTATAAAGAGAACCCATTCCAGTCCTCTAAGTGGTCTTCTTGAGGGCCACTCAGGCTGCATATGTCTCTAGATCTGCATGCTCATGTTCACTTTTGGGCTTCTTCATCTCCTCTTGGAGACAAGCAGCAGGATTACCAGAGGAGCAAGTCTCAAGATGGATTCCAGGTTACTCCATCAGTAATGCCTGAGATTTTAAAAGGTTATTATCTGTTAACTAGTGACTTCCTTTAGAAGCTAGCAACCTTCTCACATTACAAAGGGTTTACATTATTAGGTTTTTGTCCAAGGGTCAGTTTAATGGCTTTGGGGATTAGGAAGGTAATGGCTGCCACCACTGCATGTAGGCAAACTGGCCAACCTTTAGTCACCAGGTCAGGTTCTCTGCTAGGACACCCACCAGACTGGTGAGCTGGTCCCTTATGCTCAGGAAACATCCTAAAGAAATCTCTATTTCCTTTATGTACAGATTGAAGACTTTGTTTATTTGAAGGCTCAAAGTTTAGGTCTTGAGTAAGGCCTGTGTAAGTTAGATAAAGGCCTGTTGGGCCTCTGGATCCCATGTCAAAATATGGGTTTCTGTTGTCTGAATATCTTTTATCGGTTGGTGCAAAAGATGAGCTACTTCCCAGTTTCTGGGAATTCAGTAAACAGAACCCTGTGACTTGCAGGAAGACTGTAAGCTGTTTAAGGATTTTAAGAAGTAGAAAGGTGAAAATGGACTTAATTCTATCTTCTCCCAGTGCTTGAATTCCTTCAGATAACGTTAAGCTTAGATGCTTTATAAAAAGATCTGGGGACTAGCATTAGATTTTTAGACATAATAGCCATTCTCTGCCATAAAATTGAAAAGGAATTTACTCCTTTCTTGGGAACCCTCATTATTCTGAGCATATACAATAATATCATCTACATACTATAGAGCAGTGGCCTATGGGTGAAAAAACTCCAAAAGATCTTTGGACAAGTTCTGTCTGAACAGATGGAGATTGTTCTGGAATCCTTGTGGCATCACAGTACAAGTTAGATAGTGGACTTTGTTGACAGGTGTTCAAATGCAAATATTGGGAGTCAGGGTGCAGGGGTATACAAAAAAGTCATCCATTAAGTCTGAAGCTTTGCTATGCATTTAGCCTCTTCTGGAGTTGGGGACAGTAAATTATACAGGTTAGGGACCAGCAGGTGAATGGGGATCACAGTCTCATTAATGAGATAGAGATCTTGTTCTAGCCTCCATTCTCTATCAAGTTTTTGGACTCCAAGAATCAGAGTGTCCCAGGGTTTATTGCATGATTTTAAAAGTCTTTAATTTCCTATAATGACTTTTAATCCTTGTTGGTTCTTCAGCTTTAAGGGGTATATATATATTTTTTTTTTTGGTGGGGAAAAGAAGAGGGATCCTTAAGATGAATCTGTACTTGCTTGGGTGGTTATTGCTCAGCCAATCTTTTTCTGGGTTGCTCAAACCTTGGGAATACTATCAATTAGGCAGGATTGTCCTGAAGCCGTGAGTATGGTGGTTACCATCCAGGCAATGAAATCTCTCCCTAAAATGTGGTTTTGGGCTCTCCAGTATGATCAGGAAGTCAAGTGTAAAAAAAAAAAAAATGCAAGCTATCCAAATTATAGTTTAGGCACTCAGTGAAATATTTATAGGCATTCCTGGCAAGTGTTACATGGTCATACTAAGTGACGAGGGACATCTGAATTGCGGAAAAGGACAGCAAAGGTGGTTCTAGTATCTTGAAGGAAGTCAACGCCCTTCCCTTCAACAGTTAGGACCACCCAGGACTTCTGAGTTCTGATACTCTGTATGCAAGAAGCCTATAGGAAAAGTCCTGGGGCCTTTCATTCCTGTTGGGTCATCCAAAGAAAGAGGCCCAACCCCAGATACCTTGATCACTGAGAGCGGTCAAACCTCCAATGATGCAATGATCCCCATTATAAATAGAACAGGGCTGTGGGTGTTTTTCTGATGAAGGGAATATGGGCATTCCTTCTTGAAGTGCCACACCTGGCCAGATAACAGTGAAGAATCCTGGGACCTCCAGGTTGGCATCGCAATAAGTCTGCAACCAGAGTTGTGGCTTTTTTTCTTATGCCTCTGTCTTATTGTTGGGTCTCCTGGTGCTGATTGTAAAAGACAGAAATGATGACCTTCAGCAGGTTTTCTAAGGTACTCTCAAGTCCAGTAACCAGTTTTTGAAGCTTTCTCCTCATATATGAAACTGAGTAATGAATTATGCTCAAGCTTGCTGCTCTTTTTTTGAGTCAGGTGTTTGGGAAGTATGCCTAACTAATGCCTTCCTCAATCTTTCTATGAAGGCAGAGGAATTTCCCCCTAGACCCTGGTGTATCAAGGAGAACTTGGAGTAGCATGCAAGTAGGCTGTTTTTGACTAGTTTTTTTTTTCTAAAACGGCATTTTTAAGTGGGTAAAACTTATTTTTAAGGCCTGAGGATCAAAAGAATCCCAGTTAATAATGATGCATTCCAAAGGAGTGTATGCTAAAGATGGTTTTACTTATGTGAAATAAGAGGACAAAAAAAAAAAAAAAGGAATCCCCAAGTTTCTGCCTTTGTGCAATTTAGGCATCCCTCAAGTTCCTGGATGGTGGGAGCATAGCATCCTGGATCCCACACCAGGGAGATGTTGGAGAACAAGAGTAGACACTCTTACCTGCGGCTCCATTTCTTCCTGTCTGTCCCTGGGATCCTTGAACCTGCAAATCAAAGGGAACACACAAAACATTTCCCCAAGACGCATAAAATTCTCTTTACGTAAATCAGTTACAACGGTATGGAAAAATCATGAACAGAAACCCTAGCCCTTGATACCAACACACATCACAGATGACAGTTCCTTGCCTTTCTCAGGTCCTCTGAGACTCATACCCCTGGTCCCTGTCTACTTAGCTCAGAGTACACCTCTCTGTCAACTCCACTGTGGCTTACCCCTGATAATCATGAATCTGTTTTCCAGCTTTATAATTTATCACTTAAATAATGCTATATAAGTGGAACCACACATTATCTGATCTTTTGAGTTTGATTTTCTCCCCTCAGCATAATGCCCTTGAGATTTGCCTTGGTGTGAAAGTTTCTGTTTTATATATTGATGTCCTAACCACCTTGGTGATGATATTAGGTAGTGAGAGCTTTTGGAAAAGATTAATTTATGGGTGCCACTATGATATGAGTGCCCTGGCAAAGGGTTCCTTTTCTTAGTCCATGGGTTGGTGTTATTGGAAGATGGTAAGGATTTATGACACATTGTAATCAAACTCACCACAGTGAAACATAAAGAAAAGATTCTAAAATGTGCAAGGGAGAAACGTCAGATTATCCTCAGAGGATCTACAATTCAATTCACAGCAGACTTCTCATCAGAAACCCTACAGGCTAGGAGGGAATGGTGAGATATAGCAAAGTGCTCAGTTTCAGTTCATAATTGATCATAATGATAGGATTAGGAGTCAAAGGGATCACATAAACAAGAGTAGTGTCTGTTAATATTAACTGATATAATTAAAAAGGAGAGAACGATCCAACATGAGAAGCGGGATACACAGCAGACTCATAGAATGGCAGATGTCCTAAACAGCACTCTGGCCTCAGAATCAACCCTTAAGGCATTCAGATCTGGCTAAAAAGCCCATGAGAGTATTGCAGGCATGGAAAGCCAAGACACTCTGCCAAAAAAAAAAAAAAATGACCTAAATGAAAGATCTCTGTGAGCGAGATCCCAGTGGAAAGAACGGGCCATCAAAGAAGGAGGTATCTTTATCTGAAGGGGGGAGAGAACTTCCACTTTGACTATGACCTTGTCTAAATAAGATCGGAGTTGGCGAACTCAAAATGCTTCCATAGCCTTGGTAGCTCATGACAAGAGCCTCAGGTGATTACTGACATTATAAATAAGAGTTTCAATTGTTAAATCAACAACAGGAGTCACTGTGCACCTGCTCCCTAGGTAGGATCTCTGTCCTTAATCTGTTGTACTATGTGAATTAATGGTATAACTAGTATTCAAACAGTACTTTACACTTCGTGTTTCTGTGTGGATGCAAACTGTTGAAATCTTTACTTAGTATGTACTAAATTGATCTTCTGTATCTAAAGATAATTGAAAATGAATCTTGATGTGAATAGGATGGGAGAGGGAGTGGGAGATGGGATGGTTGAGGGTGAGAGGGATGTTACGGGGGGAGAAAGCCACTGTAATCCAAAAGCTGTACTTTGGAAATTTATACTTATTAAATAAAAGTTAAAAAATTAAAAAATAAATAAATCTTTAAAAAAGAGAGAATTACTGTACACCTAAAACAAAAAAAGATGGTAGGAATCTGTAAGAGCTGGGGCCTACTGGGTCATCTTGGAGTCAATTGAGATATGTCCTCAATAGGAATTTTGGGACCCTAGTGTTTCTCTTTACTCCTGTTGGGCATGTGGCCACTCACTCCCATATGTTCTTTTGCCATTGCCACCTACCTTCACTGTGAGATGATGCCCATAATGGGTGGCCACTGAGCCTTCTCTATATTGTCTGGATTTAGAGTCTGCAAAGCAGTGATCTGAGCAAATTTATTATTATAAAGTTAGTTTCCTCAGGCATTTACTTTTGTTGTAGTAATACAAAGCTAAACTAATCCAATGGCAGAACTCTCGCTATTAAGATTAGTGACCTTCCTTGTAAGTGATACCTCCTCTTGGGTCCATAGGAGGACAAAATGAGAAGACATGTCTATGAACCAGGACAGAGGCTCTCACCAGACACTCAAACTTCTAGCTCCTTAATTATATATACTTAAGCCTCCCACACACACCTCTCCACACACACCTCTCCACACACAGAGGTGTGAGAAATAAATTTTGTTGTTTAAAAGCCACACTGTTTCTGGTATTTTGTTATAGCAACCTGAATAGATGAGGACAAAATGGATCCGTGAGAATTATTGCATGTATCAATATTGTACTCGTTTTTGTTGCTGACTAGCACTCTACTAGCATTTACCAGTTTGTTTAACCTTCTATCAACTAAAGGCCCTTTTGGTATTTCTACTTTTGGGGGTTTTAAAAATAAAGGAGCTACAAACATCTTTACCCAGATTTCAATGAAGTCACATAATTTCATTCCAATAGATAAATACAAAGGGCAGCATTCATTGCTTCATATGATAAGTGAAGAAATCACCAAACTATTTTCAAGAGTGACTATATCATTTTACCTTCCATCAGCAAAGTAGTAGAGATCCAATTTCTCTACATTCTCACCAACATTTGCTTCTGTTACAAGTGTTTTTTTTCTTTCACTATTTAAATAGATGTTTACTGATTATATTCTTCTGACTTTTATTTACACTTCTTTATTGCTAGTGATGAGGAACATTGTTTTCTATCCTTGTTAGCTAACACTATCTTCGTCAGCGAAATGTCTCTTCGTACATTTTCCTATTATATATTTTCATTGTTTATTTTTTCTATTGTGTTTTAGAGTAGTTTATGTGTTAGATAGTTTTTCTTTGTTGGGCATATTTCAGAAACACTTTCTCCCATTATGTAGATTTTATTTCCATCATATAAACAGGATGTTTCAGGCAAAAATACTTTTAATTTTGTTAAAGTTTAATAAAAAATGTTTTCTGTTGTGGCTCATTCTTTCGTCATCCTGTCTAAAATATCTTCAGCCAGGCTTAGGTTTCAAAGATCGTCTCATGCTTTTTCCCTCAAAAATTATAGTTTTAAGTTTTCATTTTAATTGATGACCTATTTAATTGATTTATTAAAAAACTCATTATTTTGGCAATGGACATTGAAAAATTTGGCACTATTTTTGAAAATACTGCCTTTTTTCCGTTTAGTTATTTTTATCCTGGTTAAAAATTGATCAGTTCTGTTTATGTGGGGAATGATTTTTCTGTTTTCTATTCTGTTCCAGTAATCTATGTGTCTATTTTCTGCTAATACCATGCAATATTGGCTATCACAACCATATACTAAATCTTGAATTTGCTTACAGTAATTCTTTTTCTTTAGTATTCTCTTTCAAAATTGTTTTAGCCATTCTTAGTCCTATGCTTTTCCATATATATTTTATAATAAACATATCTATCTGTATAAAATAAAACAAAATAAAAACCTTGCTGGAATTTTGATAGTGATTGCCTTAAACAAATTTATCAATGTGGTAAACTAACATTTTACCTGGCTGAGTTTTCCAATGCATGAACTCAGTATATCTGTCCATTGATTCAGATATTCTGTTTTATGTCATCAGTTCTTTTTAGTTTCCAGCATCAAAATACTATATATTTTGTTATTTGTTGCTATATTAATACATATACATCACATGTATGTGTCATTAGTAGTTTAAATTTTGATTTCTGAATCCTTATTGCTAGAAAATAGACCAATAATTGATTTCTGGAAATTTTCTCCTGTACTGGTTAGCATGCTAAACTGCTAAGTTCTAACAGTTTCTTTGTAGCTTTCTTATAAAATGGTATGTAGATAAGCATAGTATCCGCCCAACTTCTTCTTTTCCTACATGTGTGGTTTTCTTTTTCTTTTCTTTTCTTGCTTTATTACACTGGCTAGAACTTCCATTACTATAATGCATAGCATCCTTGCCTGGTATGTTCTTTTATAGAAAAAAACCTTCCATTTTGAATCTCTAAATATGATTTCTTATTTTTTCTTATTTTTTATCAAGTTGGGAAATCTGTCCATATATTCCCAGTTTATTAATAATTTTATCATGAATAGTCTTCAGTTTTTAATATGATTTTCTGGCGACAGTTGAAAAGATCATTTTGTTGAAAAGATTCATTTTGTTAGCTTTTATATGATTAACTGTATCCATTAAATTTTGAATATTGAACCAATTTTCTTTCCTTATATAAAAGCCACTTTGGAACACAGCATAATTTTAATACTTTTTGACATAATTGCTTATTGTTTTAGATAACATTTTATTTAAAGAACTCAACAAATAAGTAGAAAAACCTTAGTACAGCAGGAAAATACACAAGGGCTATAAACAAGAATGAGATGAAAAGATGTTCAATTTCACTCAAATAAAGTATATTTTAAAATAGTCACAATATAATTAATACTATTCTTGAACTCAAATTAATGGATTTCATTGGTTGATGCTGTGTTAAATATATTTGAATCTATGTTCATGTGATATATATATACAAACATTTATTATATCTCTTTGTGGTTTTGGTATCGGAATACTATTGACTTAATAAAAAGAATAATTCAGTAGTGTTCATTGTTTCTTTTTAGGAATTTGAAGATATAGAGCAGAATTGGCGTTAGCATTTCTGTAACATTTTGTTGAATTCCTCATGAAAATTATTTTAGGGCGGTTTTCAAATTATGAATTCTATTTCCTTAATTCTTATATTAATATTTAAATGAGGTATTAAATACTGAGTTACCTGTAACAGTATGTTCTTTATGATATTGATCCATACCACTTAAGTTGTCAATTTGTAAAAATGTTTATAGTATTGTTACTTGCCTTATGTAATTTGTAGAGTTGGTAGTTGTCTCTATTGTATCTGTCCTAATATTTTAAAATTTGTGTCTTTTGTTATCCTAGTCAGACTTCTTAGAGGTTGGTCAATTTTATTAATCTGTTCAGAGACAACTTTTTATTTCATTAGTTTTCTCCATTAGTTTTCTCTTTTCAGTTCTCTGATTTCCACTTCTATCATTATTATTTCCTTCTTTCTGCTGGCTTTGGATTTATATTCCTCTTCATTTCCTAGGTTTTTGAAGTAGAATTCTATATTATAGATGTTAAACATTATTTTCCTTTTTTACTATTGTAAACAGTAGGTGCTATAAATTACCCCCACAGCAGCTTCACTCATTATGATATGCTGTTTGAATTTTCCTTCATTTCAATGTATTTTTAAATTTCATTTGAGATTTTCTATTTTGCCTCATGATTAATTTAGAGATGAATTACTTAGTTTTTACTCAATTCATTGTTCTTCCTTCCTTGTGAAACAATATCACTTATTTGATAATTGCTTCCAATTTACAGAACTTCTTTTTCCTATCTATTTGAGTTGTATCCACTAGCATTAAGTTCTCTTAGTTTTCTTTCACCTGAGAATGTTTTTTTCTCTTTTATTCTTGATGAATATATTAAGTAACTATCGAATTCTAGACCAATATTTATTTTCTTGACACTTGATACATGTTCTGTTACTTGTGATCTCTGTTATTTCTGATGTGAAATATACTGTTGCTTCTCTCTCACTGCTTTTAGGATTTTTTTCTTTCTGATTAGTTTCAACAGATTTGACTAGGTTCAGCCTTAGCATGTATTTCTCCTGGATTGCCTTGTACAAGGGTTTCAGTTCCTTGAGTCTAACTATATGTTAGTTTTCAAATACAAGAGTAATTGAGTCATTATTTCTTTTTTTGCCTTTTTTTTTTTTTTTTTTTTTTTTTTTTTGACAGGCAGAGTGGACAGTGTGAGAGAGAGAGACAGAGAGAAAAGTCTTCCTTTGCCGTTGGTTCACCCTCCAATGGCCGCCGTGGAAGGCTCGCTGCGGCCGGCGCACCGCGCTGATCTGAAGCCAGGAACCAGGTGCTTTTCCTGGTCTCCCATGGGGTGCAGGGCCCAGCACTTGGGCCATCCTCCACTGCACTCCCTGGCCACAGCAGAGAGCTGGCCTGGAACAGGGGCAACCGGGACAGAATCCAGCGCCCCGACCGGGACTAGAACCGGGTGTGCTGGTGCCACTAGGTGGAGGATTAGCCTACTGAGCTGCGGTGCCAGCCTTGAGTCATTATTTCTTCAAATACTTTTATATCTTTCCTGCTCCTCTTCTCTATCTTGTTGTCTAACTGTACAAATCATAGATAATGCATCTTAGTCACATCTATCCCCAAAGACTTTTATTTGAACGTATTTTTTATTTTTTGTCCATATTGGATATTTTTTATTGGTCAATATCCTAATTCCTTCTTTTGTCTCTTTCCTTAATTCTTCTTTTGACCCCATCCCGTTAGTTTCTTATTTTGCTTATTGCATTTATTATTTCTTTTCCATTTGCTTTTTATATCTTCTGTTTAATGACTATGTTTCCTTGCTGAGATTTTATTATTTTTTATATCAGTTTCAAGTATATTCATAATTACTTTTTGAGGGACTTGTATGATAGCTGCTTAAAATCCTTGTCAGATAACATTAAACATCTGTAATCTTGGTGTTCAATGCATTTTTCATTCAAGCTGGGATTTTTCACTTCTTGGTATGATGAGTGGTTTTATTTTAATTTTAACTTTGGCATTTGGGGTATATTTTATTATAAAATTTTGGTCTTTATTGTTATTATTAGTGCATTACTTATATCTTTTAAATCTAGTTTTTCTCTGAGGATGAGGGAAAGTTCTTTGTTCTTGCCAGTATAGGAGCTCATGATTTCCTCATTCAGCCTCCACGGGCATCTGAATAGGAAGATCTAGTTACTGCCAGGAGGGGAAGTATAGGAATTCCAGATTTTGTAAGGTCTCCATTGATTTCATTACCCCTGCCTACATATCATCAATGATTGGCAGGTAAGCTTTCCTGCTGCTTAGTAGTAAATATTCCGATACTTTGCGAAGACTCCTTAGCAGCACTCTAGTGAAGACAGGGAGAGTGCCCCATTACTTTGCAATGGGGCTTCTTAGATTCTTTCCAGTGTCACTGTGGGGAAGAGTGACTCAGGGATTAGCAAAGAACAAAATCTTTTTTTTAAAGTATGCTAAGCGAAAGGAATTTATTTTTTTCCTGGTTTTAGATGCTAGAATCCCATGATCAAGGCATCTAAGAGTTTTTTCCCCTGAGGCTTCTGTCATGGACTTGTAGCTTGCTATCTTCTCTCTCTGTCTTCCCATGGCTGTCACTCTTTTGCATACATACATAATCTTGCTATGTGTGTTCTGACTTCTTCCTATAAGGACAACAGTCACACTGGATCAGTGCCACCTTTAATGATGCCATTTTAATCACATCAACCCGTTAAAGACCCTGTTTCCAAATACCATCACTTTCTAAGATATTAGGTTTTTATACTTCCAACATATGAACCTTGGGTGATGCAATTCAACCTTTAACCACCCTAGTGTCTCTGTTAGCTTTCCCTGATGCCACCTTGTTCTGAGGGTGAGGATGCCTTGTTAGAGGCTGGGCAGGATTAGAGTTCAGGCTGTCTACTTAGTCTTTGCTAATGCCACTGGGATTGGAGCCAGAGTTTTTTTCTGTGGTATTTCACTAGAGCAGAACATTTATTATCTAACATGTTTCTGTTTTCTATGCTGGCTTTTTTCAGGTCTTTTGCTCAAGAGAGCAGACTTTCATGGGAACATTTATTCTTTTCTCTACCTCTTGTTTTATAGTCACTGACTTTGTATTTTCAACTGAACAACTTGCTTATATAATATTTTATATTGGAAAATAACTTTAATTTTTATAAGTAGATCAACTTCCTAATTCTATAAAGTCTATTTAATTGTGTAAAATCATTTAATTAATTTTAGTATATTATTTATTTCTATAATCATGTTTTTAAATGTAACTGATTTAATAACTATAAATAATCTGAAGCAGTGGCAATGGGATATTTAAAATATTATTTATTTTTATTATGTATTATAATGAATTCTTCATTTACAATTCTCAGTACAGTTAATGTTATCTTAAGTATAAGACATAAATTTCCTTTGAGAAATACTATTTAGTGTTATGAGGAAAAGTTATGAATAATGTTTTGCTATATTCTCCTACTATAATTATGTGTAAGTTATGCTTAAAATGTTTGACTCTAATCAACATCTGTCAGATCTCAAGTTTAGATAGTTGAAGTGCCTTTTACATGTAGTTGTTCTTTAATTATTTCCTCTGATTCTTCCTTATATACACATGGCATCAGATACACATAGCTTTGTATTCCACCATTGATGGAACTAATGAAATACTAACCACCGCACAAGGAATAAATCAGGATGACTCTCACAACCTCAGTGGAACCCACAAATTACTACAGGAGGAGAATAAAACAGTCTTGCTGGTACTAGGCATTTTACATATTTCATTGTATTAAATACTCACACATCTATAAAGTTTTCTAAGATTATGTTAGAAACTTAGAGCATTTTTGTGGCCTAACTCTGTGTTTTTAGTATTAAGAATACTAAGCTGAGGTCAGCTGTTTTCTATGCCTCTTCTATTTACTCTTCTATATTCTGTCTTCATTTGTTTCCATTTGCCTCTCTGCTCTGAGAAGAAGTGATCTTAAGAGTTTAACATCAATGTGTTCTCTTGTCCCTGAGAAGCCCTGGCAAAAGATTTTCAAATAGGTAGAGAATAATGATGGTATATTATTTTATGGTCCCCTCTTGGCAAGTACCTGCATAGTATTTGTATTTCTGAACCTAATAAAACAACTCTGATTGTTGGGTTTGGTGAACTTTCACTAGAGTTACTTTTGTAGGTTTTTAAGAATTATTCCTTCTATTTAATCTTCAGATCAACACTGTTAAGACCTTCCCTTTGTTCCTAGTTCAAAATCTTGTTTCTCTTAAACACATCCTAATTTTTACACAGCTTTGTCAATTATCTCATTTGAATGGATTTTTTATTTCTAGTTTTGATAAATACAGATATACTTATTCATACTTTAAATTTCACTTTTGATCTGTTGTTTCCAAAGTAACTTTTGATAACTTCAAAGTAGTTTACTTATTATATAAATTCCTGTAACATACCTAAGCACTGCTCTCAAAATACTCGAGAAACCGTTCCACTTAAAAATTGCATTATTAATAATATAATTTCTGAGCGGTTCATAACTCAAACAGATTCCTTGGCATAATCAGACAATAGTATCGACTTCAGAAATCTAGAATCTCACATTTCTGATGATATTTACACTATTGAAGCCAATTTAGCATGTTCGATGTAACAGAGGCTGATAACTAAATAAAAACAAACAAAACAAAGAATCTTGGCTATTACAATGTGCCTTCCCTCTATTATGGTTGTCAGCTTTACTGTTTCATTTCTAAAAAACAGCCTTATCTGTTTTTTACTCTTTGACTAAAAAGTTAATCTAACATACTCACCTGTGTGAGGAGTCTGTTGAATTATTGTCAGGTTTCCTTGGTTAAGCATAAATCGTACATCACTTTTCTAAGTTAATAATGTCCTGTGTTTGATATTTAGCTGTGTGTAACTTGGCTCCCACAGACTTCTTTGTGATTATTGTTCCAAAAATTAATTTGTTTTGCTCTTTCTGTTTTCCAGAAACCCAGAGCTGGGTTGCAAATTGTGCTTCTGGGTGTTCTTAAGGCAGATCTTCTGTTTTTTGACCAGCTTCATTTCAGTTTCCTACATGGCCAGCTGCTCAATTGTACTGCCATCATCCATCAACTCCACATGTCCGAACTAACAAAAGTGAATTGCTCTCGGCATTGCTTCCAAACTGGTAGCTGGATGACATCCAGCTGCTCTATGTTGGTGATTTTGTATGCTAATATCCCATAGGTAAATGCTGTTGGAACTGGTTAAGAAAATATTCTTGTAGTTTTTCTCCCCATGTCTTATGGCTTAAGGGAAGGTTGGAAAATTTAGAATTCCAATATAGTTGGTTCAGAAATAAAATACAAACATTGTTGTTGCTACTGAGGAGCAAGGTCTTGCAAAGAGCCTGGCTTCATAACTTCTGAACATGAATGAGTAACAAAAGTAATTACTAGTGAGTTTCCAATTCCATTATCATGTTTGCATGAAGTAAACATCATTTCCAGCCTTCTCTAACCCAACAAATATAACTTTTGACCCAGGGAGAGGAGGTGGGTTGTTCCCTAGAGGAGACTGACATTACTGCATCTCATTTCTTCAACATTCCTCTTTTCAGTCAAAATTATTGACCAAAACAGAAATAATGATGGAAACATAAGTGATGGAGAGTGAAGGAGGTGTGAAGTCCTAAGGCAATGTGATGGCAATGGCAGGCATTGTTTGTGGATTTATATTTCTGCTAAGCATTTGAAATATATCCCATGGCGTCCTGTTTTTTGTTAATTCTTATTAACATGAATAAAGCATACTTTATTATGTGATTATCATTTCAACAAGAACAGTAACTTTCTTTATTCATCTTTGAATACACTCTGCCATTTTGCCATAATAGTAGTAGGTTCGTAACCAGTTAGTTCTGATTGTCAGTGTAAAGATGTATTAGATGGATAATTGTGAAATAAATAAATAATAGATAAATAAATAATAGATATGTATTGCTGTGTGAGAGTGTTTTGTTGTGTGTTTGTTTGGTGTGAAATCGTCATCATTGTTTTTGTTTCTTAATCCTTTGTTATAGTGAAATCACCCAATCCTAGAAATTATATAAAATTGTGGATGCAGATCCTAGAAATTTTTTTTCTCCAAGGTTAACTGCCCTGCCCCCAATTACTCATGATTTGGAGAGTAATCGTGGCTATCTTTCCTAGTGATTAATAAATAAGGTTCCGTAAGGTATTTTGTATAACAGAATCCTAAGGTTAATAAATTCATAAAACTAAACTAGAAAACTATGATAATACAGTTTCACAGACTGGAATTATACAATGCCAGAGCAAGAGGCTCTCCCTCTCCCCAATACCTGTCTTAGTACGCTTGATGCCAGCCATGACTATTGAGTAAGCAGTGTAAATAAAAGCATGGAGGAGGCCCAAATCTCAGAGGCTTTACTTTTCAGATTTGAAGAGGAACATATTAAAATACATATAATTTTATTAAAGACTATGTTTCTCTTTTGGTTTTGTAGCAGATGTATAAGTTATCACAGATAAAGAAATTTGACTGACAGCTGAGGGATATGGAAAACTGATAAATTAATTCTTTCATAGGTGGTCAGAGATCAGAACAGAAAAGTCAATGGAAGTCAGTGATAGATGCATGGTGTTGGTTTTCCAATGATTTTGAAACATAAAATACGCAGCAAATTCATCAATCATTTTCTAGCTCTTCAGTGCATTGGCCCGAGTAGTCATATGGGTAAATGTTAATCATGCACAGAATAGGCTCATGAGAACAAATGGATTGAGGTTCATATCCCATGATGTTTACCGAAGTGTACTTTCTCAGATGTCTATACTATAGTTGGGGATGCTCCTACTACATACTGCTTGGTGTGATGGGAGAAAATGCCTCTTTCCTCATGTAATTTGCATAATATTTACCAAGCTAGACAATAAATGAATAAGCAAAGTGATGTAGATATGCTATCAGTTAGTGCTGAGTTTGCAAAAAACTAAACAAAGACAAAGAAATGAGATGAAATTTTTTTTAGACAGGAAAGAGAGGAAACATTTCTCTAGGAATGAGCCATGTAAGTATCTGGGAAAATAATACATCATGCAGAAGGACTAACCAGTTCATAGCTTCTGATTGTGATCGGTGGCTCGTAGGACAACAAAGAGTCCCATATGCAAAGAGTAGTCAACAAGAGCTGAAGAGGTAGGGCATTTCTGTGCAGTGGGATCTAGGTCATTTACCGTCTTCATAGGTCCATGGGAGGACTTCAGTCAAAATGTATGAGTAATCGAGTGATTGCTCATGGGAGGTTTTAAAAAGGTGAGGGACAAATCTTCAGGGTCATTTGTTGCTAGATGGACAATAGGCTGTAGAAAGGCAGGGATGAAGCAAAGGTACAGTAATAAAGAAATAGCAATAGTTTAAGCAAGAGTCTGTCAGGCACTGGGTTAGACAATTTCTCCAGATTGTTGGCTACATTGGTAGCAGATTGTGGCAACCCTCAGAAAGGTGAGCACATTAGATACAGTTTATGCATGCAGTTTTGGAAATATGTGGGGAAGCTTTGTGTCAGTTTGCCACCAAATATTAATGTTCCTTACAGCAGAAAATTTAAATTCCTGTAATGCAATTTCCATTTCAACTCTCAAGAGTATGAACTAAATTATAACCACAGTAACTTCCATCTCTGACTGTGTTTCACAGTAGACAAGTGTAAAAGATACAGAACAAGGTAGATGTCCTAACATAGGATGTCAGCTGAGAACTGGAATGTCACATGCCAACTTCTTACTAATACAAGAAAAATATTAAAAATCTATTCTTATGCTATGGAGTAAAAAAGTTAGGAGATATTTTTGATGTTTTTTTTAACAATGAATAATAAATGTGCAAAATAATTAAAAAAAATCTCTTCCTGGGAGCTTTTGCTTGATTTTTGTTTGTTTGTCATTATGCAATCCAAAGTCTCCAACCGAATTAAACATCATGACTCAGAAAAGAAAGGAAAAATTTCAGAGTTTAAAATTCTTTTTAATATGATGACTCTTGTGAATTTTATTGAACTCGCTAGGCTGTGTGGAATTTGAGTTCATTTATAATCAAACTAGAAAAATGTTTTGAAATGCTATTTAGATGCTCAATAGAATTATTGGACCCTGAATAACTTTCATTACATGACATTTTGATAAGGTCATTGTAAATGAGTCAGAATCATGGATTGCATTTCTTTTAAAAATACACATCACTTCACAACAGATTTAGTCCAAATTCATTTTGGCTTTTACTGAATCCCAAGTGTTTTCCCTTATATTTTTTCTCTTTAAATTCTCCAATAAAATTGCTAGATCCATAATCTAGGTGAGTTCGCCTGCCTCTTCCACTCACTTCCCTGTTGAGTTTAGCCTCAGGCTTTTCTTTAATGGCATGTATCCTTAGAGCAGAGAGTCTTATGCCCACAATCAGGGGAAGCACAAAGTCTAATAAAAGCCTGAGATTTTTTTTCCCTTTTACAAAGGAGAGCTCTAAGGGAGTGATACTGTTCCAGAGTACTGACTCAAATCTGTTCTGTATTTGAACTCTGTGATTATGAAATTTCAATTAAAGCTATAAAAAGCAAAGCTAACAGACACCAGAGCATGCCAAAGAAAAACAGGATGTTCTTTTTTGATTGGGAAATAATTATCTAAGTTCAATGGCTGGGTCCAGGTAGCTGAGTTTATATTTGCTTCCTCTCATTATAGAAACAGTTGAATTATGGTAAATTTTCCCCAAGCAGCAAAGCTGTCATTCAAAAGGGTAATTTTATTGGGGTGCAAATCCCTTTAGTTATTGCTTCAGTCCATTTTCAAAATGGATTTGAAGCCTGAGGGGAAAGTACAAATTAAGACAGACTTTTCTCTTTATGCTGTGAACCAGCCTGTCCTGCTCGCTGCAGCCCACTGTAGTACCTCCAGGGCGCTTGTCTCCCAGGAAGGTGCTCTGTTATCTCATTCTGAACAGCAGTGACTTGTAAACACAGCCAGCTCCTTCTCTCTAAAAAAATCATCACACTGATTGGATTATGTCTTTAGCACCGGAATGAGCCTCTCCACATGTTTATTACTTAGCTATGGAAACATGACGTTCACTTTTGAGGTAAAGTACAAGGCATTGAAACACTTTAGACGAGCAAATAAGTAAAGATATTGATAAAGTCTTTCCTTACCCTCACTTTGGGAGTGAAGGGAACAGAGAGTATAGAACTTTAGAATAAAACACAGGAAAGTGGCACTTCAAGCAGCTTCTGTTAGAATTTAAGTAACTTCCACAACATCATTTTATGGCGAATGATTCTCTTGAATATATCTTAAGGACTCTGCAAAAACTAAAGAATTGCATGATAATTAAGTTCTCAAATGATTCACAAAGATTGTAACAATTAAAATATTTATATGTTACAGGTACCACGTAAACTAACATTAAAGTGGAATGGAAGAGCATATCCAGACCCAGCTGCTCTGTTCTAGAGTGTCAGACAATGGACACAGTCTCCTCAAGAGAAATAAGGGGGCAGGCGTTTTGGCACACAGTGGGTTAAGCTACCGCCTGGGACATCAGCATCCCATAGGGGTTCTGGGTCCAGTCCAAGCAGCTCCACTTTGGATCCAGTCCCCTGCTAATGCTCCTGGAAAGCAGCAGAAGATGGCCCAGGTAATTGGGCCCCTTCATCCACTTGAGAAACCCAGATGAAACTCCTGGCTTTGGTCTGGCCCAACCTTGGCTGTTGTGGCCATTTGAGAAGTGAACTGATGCATGGAAGATATTCTCTCTCTCTCTTTTCTGTCTCTCTAACTCTGCCTTTCAAATAAACATATAAATCATTTTTTTAAACTTTTATTTAATGCATATAAATTTCCAAAGTACGACTTATGGATTACAATGGCTTCCCCACCATACCGTCCCTCCCACCCACAACCCTCCCCTTTCCCACTCCCTCTCCCCTTCCATTCACATCAAGATTCATTTTCGATTATCTTAATATACAGAAGATCAGCTTAGTATACATTAAGTAAGGATTTCAACAGTTTGCTCCCACACAGAAACATAAAGTGAAAAATAATAGATGATTTTTTTTTTAATGATGATGAAATCAGATCAGACCTATTGTCATGTTTAATCCCAGTGAGAGTCAAGTTGGGAGTTGATAGTTTCTTTTCTTTTCATTTCTTTTTTTTTTTTTTTAACAGAGGATCAGTTTAGTATGCATTAAGTAAGGATTTCAACAGTTTGCACCCCCATAGAAACACAAAGTGAAATATATTGTTTGAGTACTCGTTATAGCATTAAATCTCAATGTACAGCACATTAAGGATAGAGATCCTACATGAGGAGTAAGTGCACAGTGACTCCTGTTGTTGACTTTACCAATTGACACTCCTGTCTATGGCATCAGTAATCTCCCTATGCTCCAGTCATGAGTTTCCAAGGCTATGGAAGCCCTCTGAGTTCTCCGACTCATCTTGTTTAGACAAGGTCATAGTCAAAGTGGAGGTTCTCTCCTCCCTTCAGAGAAAGGTACCTCCTTCTTTGATGACCTGTTCTTTCCACTGGGATCTCACTCGCAGAGATCTTTTGCCAGAGTGTCTTGGCTTTCCATGCCTGAAATACTCTCATGAGCTTTTCAGCCAGCTCCGAATGCCTTTAGGGCTGATTCTGAGGCCAGAGTGCTATTTAGGACATCTGCCATTCTATGAGTCTGCTGAGTATCTCACTTCCCATGTTGGATCACTCTCCCCTTTATTTACTCCATCAGTTAGCGTTGGCAGGTACTAGACTTGTCTATGTGCTCCCTTTGACTCCCAGTCCCT